AACCTCCCGAAAGGTACCATGTGTTCTTTGTTCTATTCTTGCAACTTTTCTGTAGACTGGCAACGTTTCAAACTAAAAAGTTCAAAGGGAAAAAAAAAACCCACCAAAATACAACTCAGCCCACACTCCCCACCCCCTCCCAGAATTTTCCGCCCTGTACTGGCCAGCATCTGATACGATATCTACGTAGCCTACTGATTTTGTTTTCTGCCTGGCTCTGTTGTCTGTCGGATGTTAGTCCACAAAGACAGGAATTTTCTTTTTCGTTTGAAGCGTACAATTCAATGGTTTCTAGTATCTTCGCTGAGTTGCACAATCCTCAGTTAACCACGATCAATTCTAGAACATTTTTCATCACCTCAAAAGAAATCCTGTAGCCTTTAGCCTTTAGCAATCGGCCCCCCCGTGCCTCCCTCCCCCAGCCTCGGGCAACCGCTAGTCCACTTTCTGTCTCTACGGACCTGCCTGTTCCGGATATTTCATATAAATGGGATCACACACTCTGTGGCCTTTTGTGACTGGCTCTGTCCCCTAGCACAGCGTTTTCAGGGCTCCCCCATGGTGTGGCATATACCAGGGAGGGGTCTTTGTTTGTCTGGTTCATGTTTGCAAAGCCTAAAACAGAGGCTGACGTTGAGACGTGGGCAAAAAATAGTTTCTGAGGGAGTGGATAGGCCAGGATTCGAACCCAAACCTGCCAGAAGAAGGCTCATGTCCTGAACCCCAACGCAGCATGAGCACGGTCCACTCGGGCTGGCCTCGCGGCCGTGGGGACTTGAGTCCTGCCTGCCTCCCAGCTTGCCATGTGACCTCAGGCCAGCACCCTGCTCTGGCCCTCTGCGGAGGAAGTACACAAGGGACAGGGCCCTAACTGCGGGGCGCAGGAGCCCAGGCGCCCAGCCCCCCTCCCCCGGCACCTTGAGGTTGTGCCCGTCGAAGGGCAGGGAGCCGCTGACGAGGGTGTACAGGATGACGCCGAGGCTCCAGATGTCCACCTCCGGCCCGTCGTACTTCTTGCCCTGGAACAGCTCCGGGGCGGCATACGGGGGGCTCCCGCAGAACGTGTCCAGCTTCGAGCCCAGCGTGAACTCATTGCTGAAGCCGAAGTCGGCGATCTTGATGTTGGCCTCGGCATCCAGCAGGAGGTTCTCGGCCTGGGAGGAGAGGACAGGGCAGGGGGTGGGACTCACAGCCAAAGCCCCGGGGCGGGGGGGAGCAAACGAGAGCACAGGTTCTAGAGCTGGCCCCCCTGGGACTGACCCTGGGCCCTGTCCCTAACTCTCCGCCTGACCTTGGACAGCAACTTTACCTCTCTGGGCCTCAGTCTTCTCATCCATAGAATGGGGATAATTACAGTCCCTACCCCATGGGGTAGTTTGAGAATGAGATAATCCACGTAAAAGGCCTAGAATAGTGTCTCATACCCAGCGAGCGCCGTATGACATTCCCATCACCCCACGCGGTCTGCGGAGCTAGAGGTCTTCAGGCAATCTCCTCCCCCTCTCTGAGCTTCAGTTTACCCAGGAGAAAAAACACGGGGCCTGATTGCTCAAGACCG